CATGCCTGGAGTATTTTATTAATGTTTTCACAATGACCTAGTCAGAAGTTACCTAACAATTCAAAATTGCTAGGTCAAAACCCACTTAATAGGTATTTATGACCTAGAACTTCAGTAACAGATTGGAGAAGTCATGCGTGTCAACTCAAAAGGAAAAAGAATGTGGAAACGGAGTAGTGTCAGACTGAGATTCTTAGAGTTGGTAGGCAGGCACCGATAGCCCTGTTAGTTGACTTTGGTGCCTGGGGTGTCCTGGTGTAAGGTGTGGGAACCACGCCTCCAATGTCGCTTCCCATGTGTGGGCAACACTTGGGATATCATATGGCCTAAGGATAAGAACAGCGTGTGGGCCTGTCATTATGCTTATGGGCCAGACATTGTGCCTCTTTGACAGGGGTGTGACTATGGAAACACAGGGGCTACCCTTTTTGCAGGGACTCAGTCATGACAATGAATACGTCACTCTTCCTGCCAGGAGTTTTGTAAAAATGGCACGAGGAGAATGCAGAGGGAATTCAGCGAAGAACAAGAGGTCCATTGGCTCCAGTGTTTAGTTCTGGTGAAGCATGAGATCCACGCTGGGCATGGAGTGTAGTTTTGAGTCATGTTTTCCTCAGCACCCTTCTCCTCATCTCTACTTCTCCGTTTCCCCTCGCTCACTCTCCCTGCCCCATTTTTGCAAACTTTGTTCTTCAGAACCCTCCAAAGAACGCGTCATGGAAGATGGACCTTTGGAGGCTATTGGCGGTGCTTTTTTTTTTTGGTTTTTTCGAGACAGGATTTCTTTGTAGCTTTGGTGCCCATCCTGGAACTAGCTCTCTTGTAGACCAGGCTGGCCTCGAACTCCCAGAGATCTGCCTGCCTCTGCCGACGGTGCTTTCTATATCCACAGTCAATAGTTCAATCTTTCTAAATGAAGTCTGAAAGCAATCATTTGTATTTTAAAAAGTGTTCTTTTAATTTTCAGTGCTGAGAAGTTCAATGTGTGTTGCCACCAGTCTTTCTGGAAACATGTCCAGGTGTCTCCTGCACACTGTCATCTGAGCGTACACCTGGAGGCTGTCCTGTCCTGTCCCTGTGGTAACAGGGCAGGGTGTATGTACAGACTCACTCCATGAGCTCCACAGAGCAGAGTCTCTGCATAGAGAGTACTAGAGCAGGAGGGCAGCCACCCCCACCCCCACCCCACACCCCCTCACCCCCGCTTGGGTGCCTTGTGATCGCCGTGACTGGCTAGTGCTCCTTTCTGCCTTCCAGTGAGTCCAAGCTCAGTGTACTTTCTCCTGTCATCCACAAGGGAGTATCTCACTGTGGTGGAGGTAGAAGATGCTTCTGGGCAGGAGACTCCCTGGCTGGGACTGAGAAGGTGTTCTAAATGCTTCCCGCAGTACCAGGGTCAAGGGCCTACAGGCCCACGGCACACACGATGCCAGCAAGGTATGGGCATGCAGTCCAGGCACACTGCTTCCTCTTTCTGTCTTCCTCTCCCCACCCCCCGCCGCCTCCCAGATAAAAACAGGAGAAACAAACCAACTAAACCAAGTCTATTAGGACCATAGCTGCTGGCTTACGCTTTCCTTTTCTCGGTTCGTTTTTCTCATTAGCCTCAGCAGTGAGTCCAAAACCTCACGAACCTGGAGCCAGAATCCGCAGTGCGAAGGGCAAAGCAAGGCAGACTAGAGGTGCTTACAGAACCATTATATTCCTGGGAGGGAGCATGAGGCTCGGGTCACTTTAAGGAATGTGCATTTAGGGCAATACAGACTTTCTTCTTTCCATGTCGATACAATGACTTGTCCTAAACAGAAGGGTGTAAGAACATTTTAAAATCTTTTAAGATAATTATATTATTCATAGGTATCTAGAATTCTCCAGAAATAGGAATCAGTTGCCTATCTTCAAAACTTTGAGTATTTCATAAGAAATCCCAGATTCCTATCCTATCTTGAAAATCTAATGAATTTAGCACACCATGCCTGCCAGCTGCTTCCTTTAAGCTACCTGGAGACTGCGGTTCCCACCTGCCTGCCCATATGCCGTCTGCTTTGACCAGCAAATACTTACAGTAACCCTATGGCTGCTTCAAGAGGTAGCTGTCAGAACTAGCACTCTGAACTTTGCAAATTAGCTCCTGAAATACTGTAAGAATTTGTTCTTCTCTTAATAGGGGTGGGGGTGCGATGGGTGTGGGGTACCACACAGGTCACAAAGTAAATTCTAATAGTGGTTGCTTCTGGCAGAAGTGAGGAGAGAGATGTTTCTTCACATCATTTTTATCTGGGAAAGCACTGGAAGGTTCTAGGCATGCTATAATTCTGATCCTTGTAAGTCTGGGTTGGAAGGGAAGTTGAGTGTGTTGTTAGCATCTTGTGATGGTGTCCACACAACTTGATCCCAGTGTTCTAAGTGAGTATGAAGACGAAGGAAGCCTTCTTTATCACCCTGCCTGTTTTAAGTTGGGCAGGCCTTGTTGATGCCACGCTGGTTCCTCTCTGCTGGATCACCTCGTCCTGAGGCACAGGAGTCCACAGGAGGTGGCTTCCCCTGGGCTAGGTCTGTGCCAGCCAGCTACCCACCCTTCAGCACTGCTTGCTCCTGTTGGCGGGAAAGGAGCATTGCCGCTGAGCCTTCAGAGTCTGCTGGGGCCGGTAAACAGAACTTGCCTCTGGGCTATATAGGTGGAAGCTGAAGCCAGAGGGATTAAGTGATTTGCCCTCAGTCACACTGGTAATTAGTAATGGAGCCAAGATTAGAGTCCCTGTCTGGCAGCACCTGGTCCTGAGCCCTTCCTTGGCCACCCCCTCCCAGCCCCTCTCATCCCTTCTTCCTGGCATGGCAGTGCAACCTGAGTTTCCCTTCTAGAATAACCCTAAGCTGGTAGTGAGGCGTTCTCCCAACATATGTTGAGCCATTTGGCGGGTATAGTTTGTGCTGATTTGAGCCATTCCGGCACAGCTGTGTGATTCTGTAACCTCAGCAGCGGGTGCTGTGGACATTCCATGAATACATTTTCATGCTAATAAGCGAGCTCGGTGACATTGGAGTTGACAGGGAACTTGTTCACTCACCTAGAAAATAGCCAAACAGGTTAGAAGCCTGTGCTTGTACCTCGAATGTGCTTGGGTTATAATTATGTAAGGTGTCTGAGATTCATCTGTGTGTTTTTTACAGTGTTCACTATAGCCAAGGAGAGAGTGTTCTTTTTGCTGTCAGTGACAAACGCGTTCTCTCGCAGGCTTTGGTCACCGAGAAGCTGAATCTCTTCTCTAGCAGGTCTCCATCTCTCATCCATTTTTCTATTTTTGTTTCACAATTGCTCATTTTTTAATATTGGCGGGGGTAAGAGTGTTGATGGCTCTTACGGAAGATCAGAGTTCCTGTCTCAGCACCCACTATCATGTAGCTTAAAACTGTCCTGCAGTTGTAGGTCCTGGAGGACCGACACCCTCTCCTGGTATCCTCAGGCAGCCACATGCACAATAATAATAATGATAATAATAAAATAAATCTTTAAAAATGTAACGTCAGTCTAATACCTTTTTAGCACTGTTTTTTTGCTTCCGATTGCTGCATTCCTGGCATGCCCTCCTTGTTCTTATGGCTGTCCCCTTTGCTCACAGGAAACTTGGTGACGTTTTTGGTTTTCCTTTTGTGTTAACTTTCCAATAAAAAAGAAGAAACGTTGCAAATAAGAAGCACCGCACACAGAAACGAACCAAGGTCTATAGAACTTACAGAAGTCTCAGTGAACTTCTGCACAGTTAGGGAACTCCGTACCCTAGTTTAGAGGAATTTGCAGCATCATATTGCTGCTTTATTCACTGCAGCAAAAAATTGCAGTCATCCTAGTTGTCCATCAACAGATAAATTGGTGATGAAAACTTGGGGTGCCTGAATGCGTGTGTGTGTGTGTGTGTGTGTGTGTGTTTGTAATGGAATACCATTCCGTCGTAAAGAAAAAGGTAATCTTTAGAATTTTGCTGCTTTCCATATTGGCCTTATTTCTTCTGGAATAATTTTTGTTCTCCCATTCTCCTGAGCCTCTTTCACGTTTTAGACATTGTTCATATGTTTTAGGTCCTTGGTTTTTTGTGCAGTGTAAAGCTGGGTGGGCACTGTTATGTCTGACCAGACGTCGGTGCAGTGGAGGGTCTGGTTGGCTGTCAGATACGTCTGTTGGAAAATGGGAAGGAGCATAGCTGCTCCAGTGAACCAGCAGTAGAATCAGCCAGGTCTGTGCGAGCCGCCCTGGCTCTCCCTGGGCAGTGTTCTGTTTTGTGGGAGGAGGCTTCTGTTTGTCATGTGGAGTGGAAGCACACTAGTGCTCTACTAAAACAGATCTTTGAGTCCTTTAGTTTGTACCTCTGATCTCTTTGCCTGCTTCTTCGTGCACCCAGGGATGCGTTGGGTAGCCACTAAGAATAGGAGTCATTCTTGTTTCCTCTCTCCCCCACCACCCCCACAATACAATAAACAGATAGCTTGACCATGAGTTTTGCACATTTCAACTGCTTTGCACGTGCTTATACTTCCTTGCTTCTCATAATGAACTTAGTAGGAAAATGCATTTGCACCTCAGCTTTGCAGAGGGGTGCCTAGGCACAGGTTGGTTGGGGTCCCTTTGAGTATATTTGGGGCCGCACAGAAAGTGGAATACCTAGAGCTCAAACCTAAGCTGTGTTTACATCAGTCCGTGCTTTGGTTAGCTTTCCTCTGTTAGCAGTGTTGGGGTGAAGTGTGGAGATGCATGTGTGTTCAAGGTAATCTTGAACGGGAAGCTTACCCTGTTGTGGGGTTGCTGGCTGTGGCAAGCACCTCAAAGCAGCATCTGCAAGCAGCTTTTGATGTCTGAGAGCCAGAGCAGCCCAGCTTGGCTTCTCCACCCAGGAGAGTGCAGCACCCTTCGCTGTATGTCCTGACAGCTTCTGGTGTTGTGCACCCTGAGGGAGGTGTGTCGTCTGAGCCATTTGGACAGCCCCTGTATTCCTCTCTCATCCTAGGACTGACGGCACAGCACAGACCATGGGTGTTTACTCCTGGTGGAAGCAGCCATCCTGGATGGTGGGCAGTCAGAGAAGGAGAATGACTCCAAACTTGCCGTGGCTCCTGTCGGCACTCATGCTTCTGCATCTGACCGTGCAAGCAAGTAGTCTGAAGAGGGGTAAGTATGGAAGCCTTGCAGCAAATGAGCAGGCTGGTTTACTTTCCACTCTAAACTAGTCCTGTTTCTCTGCAGTCTTTTTCCTCTGTGTTTTTAGTTTCTTTTTAAAAGCCTCTTTACCAAAGGCAGATCAAAATATTCTTTTACCCTATACAAATAATAATGCATAATTTTCAGACAATGATATGCATTCCTTTAGGATACAGTTCTCTGAGTTTTGACAATGTGCAGTTGCTAAGCTAGGCACCATCAAGATCTGGCTGCGATCCAGAGCACAGAAAATGCCCACTGTGTCCCGGTAGCCAGCCCTTCCCGCCCCGCCCAGCCAAGTGTTGTGGCTGAAGAAAGTTTTCTAAACGGAATCGAAACTCTTTTCGTGTGTTTCTCGTGTCTTATTTAAAACGTTTTTAGGAATGTTTATGCAGATACCGCTTGGCTCATTTCTGTGAAGGATGCTACTATTCTGCCCATCAACTTTATTTTTATAATGTTTACATAATTAAAAAGATCTCTTCCCCAAGATTACGAAGTAAATAATGTGACTGTGGTAACTGCTGGTTACTACTGTGCACATTTCTAAGGTGTTTCTGATTTTTATGTTAATTTATAATGTGTGACAGCAGTGAGTATCATGCCTGTAATACATAAGATAATAAGCCTTTTCATGACATTATAGCGTATGAGATAAGTTTTCAGACTGTTTTTCCTTCCTCCTTGCTTTCCTCTTCCCTTTCTCGTGTTTCTCTTTCCATCCACCCCCTCACCTTCTATCCTCCCCTTTCCCCACTTCCCCTTTTTTCCTACCCTTTCCCATCTTCTATGCCCCTTTCCTTTCTTTTCAGCTCCATTCCAGGGTGGCTTTTCATTGTGTGGTTCCTATGCCCCTGCCCATATATTCCATCACGCAGTGTCATTGTATGGGTGTGGACACAGACTCTTAGGACTGTCGTCTTCTGAGCTGTTTCTTTCGCACTGGTTCAGCCCACACATGAGAGAATATTTTCTATAGGCTTGCGTGAGTTCATGGTGTTTGAATGTAATTTACAATAGTGATTGATTGTTGGTTCCCGTGGAGGGGCAGTCTGGTGCGAACAGGGAAGCAGCCCCAGCTAGGCAGGTTTGTAGATGTGGTATACACCTAGAGCTTTTCTGGAATAATTCTTTTCTCTGGAAGTGAAGAGTTTGCTTGTAATCTAACCCCACTACTACTGCTCTACTACTTGGCTTTTATTAGTTACCTTTTAATTTCAGAAGCAAAGCACATCCCAACCCCTCCTCACACGCACGCGCGCGCACGCACACACAGTTTCTTAGTTGACTGCAGTTCTTTGTCCAAGGCTGAAACCTCACAGCTGTCGCTTTGCCATGTTAGCATGCCTATTGGTGTCATGATTAAGCAGCTATGTTGATGAGAACTCATGGCTGTAGCTTCTGACATTTCTAGGAGAAACAGTCTCACAGCGAACCCCTGTTCCTCTGATTCTAAAGTCTTTCCACCCCTTTTTCTGCAGTAATCCCTGAGCCTTAGGTGTAGGAGTTGCTTTGTAAATATATCTATTAACACTGGGTTTCACAGCGCTCTTCATTGTGATCAGTTGCGGTTTTCTATAATGGTCTCCAACTGTTAGAAAGAGAGGTTTCCCTGATGAGGGATAAGGACTAACTATGCTTCTCTGTGAGCCTAAGGACACATGTTTAGAGTGTAGTTAAGGATTGTGCTGGTTTAGTGAAGTGGCTGTTGTCAGTCGTCCTACATGATCCATGGTTCAGTAGCCCCAGGTAGTTGGCTAGAGTTCCAGGCATGATTTTCCTTTTGTTGAGTGGGTTTGAAGTCCAATTAGAGAACTGTTGTTTCCTGCCTACATATGAGAGTGGGAGAAATAGCTTTACCCGGGGAAGAGCGTGCCAAGGGACTAACCAGAGCAAATGGTCAGCCCTGAAAACGTACGTAAAGGTAACATTACATGGACTGAGCAGGTTGCACTTATTACTTGGGAATATATAGCCAGATGGTGGTGGCGCACGCCTTTAATCCCAGCACTTCGGAGGCAGAGGCAGGTGGATCTCTGTGAGATCGAGGATCGAGAACAGCCTGGTCTAGAGAGAAATTTCCAGGACAGAGAAACACTGTCTTAATAAACCATACACACACACACACATATACATATATGCATACATATATATAAATATATGTAACATACATATGTAGCATACAAATATATGTAACAGCAACTAGCAAGAATTGAAGAGATAAGGGACATAAATTTGAAAGAACAAGGGGAGTATACATGGGAAGGTTTAGAGGGTGGATAGGAAAAGGGTTAGTGATGTAGTCGAATTATAATCTTAAGAAATTTAAAAATATATTCATTTTAAAACCCACTGAAAACAGAGTTAGAAAAACAGCTAGAAAGTAGCATCCTATGAGTGGGGTCCTTTCTTCATGGAAGAGGGTGGTCCTCTGTGGCCCCAGTACTTGTCTCGCCGCCGAGACACTGACCCTCAGATGCCGCAGAGAGGTCTTCATGTGTGCTCTGTGCTGCTTTTCCTCCTTTAGGAGCAATTCAGAGTCTGAAATGCACGACCAGCAACATGCAGGTGTGGGACTGCACGTGGACAGAGCCCCCGGGGCTCAGCTCTGGAGCCGTGAAAGAAGTTTGCGTTAGAGACAGGTAATGAAACCCTGGGGTTCGCCCGAAGCCGTAATCCAGAGCGTCCTTCTTGGTTACTGTAGAGTGTGACAGTTTTGTGGTTTTGTTCCGGGGTGTCCAAAGGAGGTTTTCACTCGGTCTTCTCTTTCTTAAAAATTCTATTTTACATTAGCCCGGATGGAAACAACGTCTTCTAGCCACAGGTTTGTTTCTTCGGTTGTATGCAGTATAAAAGTGGAATACCGCCCACAGTGTACTGATCTGGTCAGGGGGCCTTGCGGGTCTAGCCAAACCAGTGTCTGCCTCTGTCAGATTGAAGTCTGTGTCTCACAGAAAATGCCCGCAACAGTGACAGCTATTCCACACACAGGTGTTGACTCTCGGGGAAGTGGTCTGGATGCGGCAGCTCAGGGCCGGCACAGCCATTGATGAGCCTGTCTTTGCCGTCTGGTTCCTTTGGCATCTTTTGCCTGGAATCTCATGGTTCAAGGTGATTCATGAGGAGTAGCCCTGCATTTGAAGAAGCGAGCAGGGCAAGAAGGAATGATTTTCTATTTAGAAGACTCCTAAGAAGTCCAACAGAACCCCTAGGCTGACACTGGCTAGATTGTCTCAGATGTTAATAAGTCCGGCTCCTCAAGAGTCTTGGAGATAAGTTCGCCTAGCTGGGAGGCAATGTCCTGTAAACAACGGGTCCATGTTATTAAGGAGGAGACTGAAATGAGCCTTGGGAAGATGGGGAGAGCCCTCAACATCACCTCATAGCTCGAATAAATCTTGGGTGGGCATGACGCAAATCTTCCGAGAGTGGAGGCCTACACAGTGTCTCTCCCTTTCCCCTAATCCCAGCAGGACAATGCGTTGCTAATCAAAGCAAGGTTCTCCACAAGACCCAGTTGGCTAACAAGTGGTCCTGATATAAACAGACATAACGTGTTTAAACACAGTCCGCTATGCCCCTTCAGGGTACATTTTCCAAGTATTATTGTAAGCACTGGGATGATTTATCAGTTAAGAGGAGTTGGAGGGTGTCGCAGAAACAGTCTTCAAACCCCTATGTTTTGCTCATGAAAATGAAGGACTGTTTTCTGCTTACGTTCGGGCTTAGCTGGGATTTCCACCCCAAACCCCTTTGTGTTTGGAGGTCGTTAGAAGGGAAGAGAAGGGACGTGGCCTGTGCTGGCTTTTGGGACTTTCTTCCTGAAGTGTGTAACCGTTGACTGCTTCAGGTTTTTCTTTGTTCTCAGAGGGGCAGAGGATAGTCTTAGCTAGAGTCCTGGGGAGGGGATCCTGGAACTCTGGGTGGGTAATGGATGGCGGCTGGCTGCGGTGTGGTACACTGGGAAGGAACTTAAGTCCTGCTCACCAGGGCCTCACAACGAGTCCCCGCAGTAACTGTGGGCTGCTGGCTGACTGAAGTGTCAGGTGACTTAGAAGGGAGCGGAGACCGCGGAGTGTGACAGAAGACACAGCGCCATCTCCTTTGCGACCAGAGAGCAAGACTTTGTAGCCAAGATGAATTAATGAAACGGTGTGGTTTGGAGAATTTCGATGGTTTAGGATGTAAGTTAAAGAAGCGAGCCTGGAGGGTCAAGCCCAAAGTCCTAAGCAAATGTTGAGCAGGAGTCCTGCTCAGGCCTGGGTGAGGGCTACGGTGCAAGAGGCCAAGTTCTTAGTAGTGAAAATAAGACTGGGAATATGGCCCATAGGGAAGCAAAGGGCTGTGAAATCAGAGCGGAGAATCACGGTGGTGTGCGAGACTCTTTGGTCCAGAAGGGACTGGAAGCCCTTCCAAAGCCAAATGATGAAGTTTTGTTAAAGAAAACCCTAAGTCGAGGCAGAGCTGTGGGGAAGGAGAGAAGGTATGTGCAGAGGGACCACTAGTCTAGTTTGACATCTTCCACCAGCCTCTGCTGAGCCTGCCTCTAGCATGAGGCGCTGGGTGTTGATGTTCTGTGCTGAAGGGAGCAGCCTGTGGAGCTGAGGCTGCTCTGGCCAGGTTGAGGCGGGATCGGAGCAGTGCTAAGACCTCTGCTCGCTCTGTACTTTCTGGCAATCTGGTTACTCCCCAAACCCCACCATTACCATTAGCTCCTCTTTGTTCGGTCTTAGCATATAGTACAACAACCCAACTTTACACAAAGGCGTATGGCGTTGTCTAGTGCTTATTTTGCTGAATCAGGCTTTAATGAGCATGGCGGTCTTTTTATATGCTATTTAAAGTTCTGTTTCTTTCATTACAGGCTCCGTTCTTGTCATCGATTAGAGACAACAAACATCAAAATTGCGGCCCTTTCACCTGGCGATCATGAAGTAACAGTAAATTACCTGAATGGCTTCCAAAGTAATTTCACCCTGAATGAAAAAGATGTTTGTAAGTATTTAAAAGAAATTTTTTCTTTATTCATTGTTAACCTTGGCAGTTGCTTTTTGTTTTCGAGACAAGAACTTGCCATGTAGCTCAGGCTGGCCTTGAGCTTGTGATTTCCAGCCTTAGGTTCAGAGAATTCAGGTTAGAGGTGTGCGTCCCCAAGCCGCCTGGAAGTTAATTGTGAATGGAGTGAAATCACCGTTAATATCGTGGTGCTGGGGAACTGGCACGAACCTATGATTATTTGAATTTCATTTATGTTGCCACTTTCATTCACTTAGCGTCCTTGCTGAGGAAGGAGGCAAATGTGTCTTCCAGTCAAAGTAGATGAAGCTGAGGTTCCCCCCCCTCACGTGGTTACTAGCCTAGCGCCCTTCGCCTCCATTCCTTCCTGTGTCCCGGCATTTCTCGGGTGTGCTTTGTTCTCGGACTGTAGCCTGACTGCCCCAGAGGTGACCCCCTCCCACTGTTCACTCACACTTGGGCACGCTGTGGTTCTTTGTGGCAATTTCCCTCAATTGAATTCACGGTCCAGTGTGTAGTTAGATGTTTACCTTGTGTCTTCTCCACAGGAAGTGTGTTCTTTGAAGGAAGGGGCAGGGACTTTGTGTTCTGCCCTGTGCACAGGCATTTGGCCAGAGTCTCCTAAGTGAACATCTAGGACCTTGGCCACCAGTCTACAGGAAGGACAGAGGCAACCCCAGGGAGACAGAGATGGAACGTCAGTTCATGGGTGTTTCATATGGTGGCTAAGAGGTTTGTTAGTGTGTGACCCGTGACAGAGTGGCGTCATAATAACGTGACGAACCTTATAAAGTTACTGACTTAGAGGCAAGGGAAAGAAAAGGAAGTTAACTTTGATTTGTACAGTTCCATGGAGTGGTTATATGTCTTGGGGAAGATCTATGTCAGCCTAGGTGTTTGAAAGAATAATAATGAAGAGACTGTCCAGACACAGTCTTTCCCGATGGCTGGATGAAGGAGGTAAAGCACTGGCCATGCAGACCTGACAATTTCATGGTGGAAGGAGGGAGTAGATTCCACAAGCTGTCTCCTGACCTGCACACGCTTGCTGATCTGTGTGTGTGTGTGTGTGTGTGTGTGTGTGTGTGAGGGGGGGGGGAGCGGTTGGGTGGGTGTGGTCTCTATCTGGGTCATTTTGTCAATTTAAATTCCTTTCTGTATGGATATATCTGAGTTTTTGAGCGCAAGTTAAAATTGTCCTCAGATGTCTGTTTTAGTTCAAAAGACAGGCAGATTGCAGCCCATGCGGCCCCTGGGCAGCTTGCTCTGCTATTATGCAGAGAAGGGAAGTTACAGTAGGTTTTTGTCTCTTAAATCCTTTCATTTGTAATCATGGCCTTCACCATCTCTCAATGGAAACAGGGACCTGTGTTTTGCAGTCACCCACTGCTAAAGAGTAAATTACATGGGTTTCTGAAGAAAGGAAGGATCTTTTCTTCTTTCTTTCTTTCTTTCTTTTCTTTTTTCTTTCTTTTTTCCTCCTTTCTTTTTGCTATACATAATTAAATGTTTTATTTAAAAATACTTTTTTATACAATGTATTTTGGTCATCTTTCCTCTTCCCCAAGTTCTTCCAGATTCCTACCTCCCTACTCATCCTAATTCATGCTTATTTGTTCTCTGTCTGTCTGCCTGCATGTCTGTCTCAAGCAAAAATCAAACAAACAGAAGAAAAAAGAAATCAAGACAAAAAACCCTAAAGACACGGAGGCCATTCTATTTCAGACAACCATTCCTGGACCTGGAGCCTACTCTGGGATGTGGTTGATGTCCCCAGGGTCACCTCCTTCTCATTCAGTATCAATTGCAAATAGCTTCTGGATTAGGAGTGGGGCTTGGTGTTCTCTTCCCCTGCCACCTGGATTCTGTCTGGTTTGAACCTGGGCAGATCTCTTGCGTGCTTTTCACAGGCTCTTTGCGTTCATACACGCTGCAATTCTGTCTTGTCTGGAAGATGGTGTTTTCCTCAAGTCAGCCCGCCCCCTTTTCTTTACAGTCTTTCTCCCTCTTCTTCTGCATAGATCCCTGATTCTTGTTGGGAGGGCTTTGATAAAGACATCCCATTTAGAATTGAGTGCTCCGAAGTCTCTCACTCTCTGAACATTGTCCAGTTGTGCGTCTCTGTGTTAATTACTGTCAGTGGCAAGAAGAAGCTTTTCTGATGACTATCAAGCAATGCGCTGATCTATGGGTATAGCAATGTCGTTTTATTGCTGTGATCCTTAGTAGAACAATAGTAGTAGGTTTTGCCCTAGGGCCTATGACTTCGCTAGTCTCAAGTTCTTTGCCTCCCAGTTTAGAGTGCCCTGTATGGGCTCCATCTCATGGAATAGGCCTTAAAATTCCAATCAAAATGTGCTTGGTTATTCCAATAACATTTGTGCCACTGTGGTGCCAGCATATCTTGCAGGTAGCTTGCTGTTATAGGTCACAGGCCTTGTATTCGGAAATGTATGATTACTTTTTTCCTCCAGTAGTATGCAAAAGTATCTTCTGGTACCATAAATACTTCAGTGGTGGTGATGCTTCTAGCTGGGTACAGCTCAGTTTCCCCATGCTCACTGACCTAAAGAGGTTGTGTTTTCAGTGATAGGGCCTTACCATCTGGTTATGGAGAGTAGCCAATAGTGTTGACATTAGTCTGTGATGTTTGGGGTGGTGGTGTGGGATTTCTTTGACCAATGACTCAATAAGATATAACCCATTTCTGGCATCAGAGGTTTTACTTGTTGACCCAATGTGTCTAGTTGGGGCATTCTCTCTTTCCCACTAAATGGTGACTCCATTTAAATTCTGTTCATATATGTATATATTTTAGGAAGCGTATACAGGAGTAGGTTTTTATATGGCTTTTCAAAAGGCTCTTAGTGTTAGTTGTAGGAAAGAAACATCTTTCATGGGTTAGCATGGCTACATTTCAGGGTGCCCATTTCATCGTGTTTAAGTTACTACACTATGGTGTTTTCAGTCACCCTCGGTTGCTGCTAGCTCAGTCCTGGTATTGCTGGCACCTGGACCAGCCCTCTCTTGGCACCAGATTCACTTCGTGCCTCTCATTACCCATGTGCTTGCTTTCTCATGCAGCTTCCACTTCCGGGTTCTCCATGGAGCGTGCTCCATGCCCCTGTATAGCTGACATGCAGCTGACTTTGTTATATAGCGCAGACATTAAATCCACGCTTTCCAGATCACTTGCAGCTCCAAATATTAAGTCTGGTGTAAAACACAGTATTCAGCAAATTTTGGTAAAATCAAAGTTTATAAACTTATCTTTAGGTTCCAAGACTGACATGGAATAATGGTTTATTCTGCCATTTTCCTGTATTTGACAGCCAGCCAGCTTACCCTGAACATTTATTTACTCCTGTGGTTTCTCACTTACCATGACTTCATTTAGGGGCCCTTGAGTTTCACCGGAAATGACTGAGGTGAGAACAGAAAGGACTCGTCCTGGACTTTCTCTAACTTATCCTCGCGTGCCTAACGTTTGAGGAAGAAGCTTGCAAGAACATCAGTAGCTCTGCTTCTGCCACTGGCAAGCCTATGCTTCACAGATAAAGCCACACATGTCCCTCATTTCTCACTGATCTGAGGCTTTTGGTCATGCCCCGTGGGTAGGGAGTTTTGGAGACATACATGTTACTCTTCCTGCTACCTCCTTCCAGTACACAGCTTCCCTCTACAAGTGCCCGAGTTCTTGAGCAGCCTTTATCGCTGACTTTCCATAGTTCAGTTTCAGAGGCCCAGCCTTCCCAAGCTTCCTGCAGAAAGCCCCACAAACCCTACCTTCTTTGGGTTGCCTTGACCGTGGTGCCTTAACACAGCAATCGAAAGCAACTGATACAAAAGAACCATCCCCTCGCCCCTGACATCCCTTGTCCCTAAGCTCTGTCTTATGTGGACTATTTGACACCTGCCCCTTCTCAGCCCAGTGGTCCTGCATTTTGTCTCTTTTCCTTCGACTTTGAGCTCTGTCCTATGGATGCTTGCTGTTGTGACCAGCTCCTTGAAGGTGCGTTTTTGTGTCGCACACAGCCTTTATAGCTGTGTCCACAATCCTTTTTCAGCCCCGTGGCACAAGCTCTTCTGGGCTCCACACGTTGATTCAGCTGGCTGTTCTCACAGGGCAGGCTGCAGAGTGCTCTCCCCATCTCTCTCTTCCTAGTGCTGGTATCCGGAGCCAGCAGCTGGCGTCTTCCCATGGCTTCTCATGCCGTTTCCTCTCTGCTGCTTCCTGGGAGCTTGTGGGGGCCCTTTGGAGAAATCTTGATTATTTCTTTCTTTTCCTGGTGAATCCTTCATTCCTCTGATCCAGTCATTTCTTCAGAGCAGAGTGTCTTTTTGCCCTGTTTGACCTAGCCAAGATTTCTCCATCACTGCCCCAGCTGACTGGCTTGTGTCTGTCTCAGGCCCCCGGACACCGTGCTGGACGCTGCCCCGTCTCTACCATCCTCCTTCACGGTCAGCCTTTGGCTTCTGCACTCAGTGCCCAAATCACCTGAATAGGCTCTGTCGTTTGATGACACTCAGAGCTTGGAGCAGCTCTTAGTTCTTTAAATGGGTAGTGGCCCCTCACATGAGGAGCTTGGCTGCTGGGGGACAAGTGAGAAGCTGCAGGAGCACAGAGGCCCTTTCCCAGCTGGCCTTTGTTTGCTTGCTTGTTTTTAAAGGTTCAGCCCTTTCACCGCTTCCTCGCAGGTCCCCGACCAGGTGATGCTAGAGCATTGTGGGAACCCTGCAGCTCTCTGCAGTAGGAAATGTGTCATATGTCTTTGAAACAAGCAGCTGACGTTTTGTCCCTTTAATCACTGGGAGCTGGCTGTACAAATAAAAGCCTGCCCCCAACTCCGGTCTAGCAGTCAGTGAGAAATTGAAGTACAGTGTGAAAAATATAGTGCTTATTTGACTAAACGTTTTCACTTTTCTTTCCTATTTTTAGCTTTCATTCCAGATGCTCCCGAGGTTTTGAGTTTGTCTGCTGACTTCGCGACCTCCACGCTATACCTGAAGTGGACCGACAAAGGCTCTGCCTTTCCGTACCCCTTGAAGGTCACCTGGGAAGTTAAGGTTCTACAGCATCCGCGTATGGAACCCATAAAATTAGTAAGTTGGGGCAAAAATCCATTTCCCTATGATGCTCAAGAAACCACACAGCCTTTAAAGGTTTCAAGGTGGCATCCACATTAACGGGATGGCGGGATGGTTTGGGGGTAAAAGTGTGAGCCGCACAAGTCCAACTGCCTGAATCTGGTCCCGGAACCTATGGTGGGAGGAGAGAACCGAGCTCTGGAAGTTGTCCTTTGACCTCCACATGTACACCGTGTACACCGTGGCAAGTGCATGGCCACGCTTACATGTACACACAGATCACAACAACGGCAACATAAAAGATAAAAATAATGTTTTAAAAAAATCACTTCTGTAATAGAAAGTTGAGAAATTAAGGGAGAACTATTTCCCAATTCTACCTGTTGGATCCAGTAAATGCCCAGCCTTTTAAATGCACATGTCCTTGCATAAATGAAATAAAAGCTTCTTTTCAGTTTATTTTACTCAATCTGTTATTTTATCTTTGTCTATTATTATACATAAAATAAATATTTAAAACATTTAACCATAATAAGAATAAAATAATTGAGAAATTAGTAAGCTTTAGGTTACCAGCCTGAAATACCATTATATACACTACTTTTTCTTTCTCCCCCGACTCAATATTTCAGTGGTTTTGTATGACTTACACTCACTTTATTCTTATTCTAAGACAGAAGAACAGGTGTGATAAGTCGGCCAGGTGTCACGCGGATGCTAGGGCAAGAGGAATGCTAGGCAGTAGTGTTTCAGTTAAGGCACATGCTGTACACAGCCCCAGAAGATGTCCCACATGCCTGAGGATGGGTAGAAGAAGGCCCCAGCAGTCCATACAGCCCACCCTCCCATTTCCCGCTTGTCTCTCCTTAGGAACAGGCCTGCCTGTATTTGTCTATTGAGACAGGGCTTTGCTGTAGCTTGCAGTACGTTTTCCTCTGTCTTCCTAGTTCTAGGATTACATCTGCGTTGTTAACTCCATTAGCCGATTCTTTCCGTTAATTAGCTCCATTTTTGCAAATAACGTGCTTACATAGCTATTTCTTTATGGTTTCCAGCAGTGGTTTTCAACTGCCCCAGTGGAGGATGAGAGCCCTTTCTGCTTTGTCTTTCTGCTTCCCTCTTTTCTCGTGCGTCTATAGCTTTATCTGCATTGCTGAGCACTGAGCACTACAGTCTCGGTCTCGTCTGTTTCCCTAGGAACTTGTTTTATTTCTTTGGTTTCCCATTCTAGTTTTTTCCTTTTTTCTTGGAATCTTTCTTCTTGAGAAAATGGATCTTCAGACTAGTCTTCTGGTGCCTTATTTTTCCTATTTCTCACCTGCCTTTTGATCTCGTGTGTGTGTGTGTGTGTGTGTGTGTGTGTGTGTGTGCGCGCGCGCGCGTGTGTGGTCCCTCTCTCTTTGGCTTTGTTTCTTCAAGATACAGGTTCTCCTCTATGAAAATATGGAAATCATTTCTATAGCAACATATTTCTTAAGTTGCTTCATTGAAGGCCTTGACGAGTCTCAACACCTGTATGGTAATTCAGTAGGACCTAATGTCAATCAGGGAACATAATTGAGTAATGTTTGTGTTGGCCTAACTTTCTTGTTAATACTTTATAATAGTGGTTCTCAACCTGTGGATTGTGACCCCTTTGCTATCACAGGGATCACCTACCAGATATCCTGCTTATCATATATTTACATTGCAATTCACTGCAGTTGCCAATTATAATTATAAAGTAGCCACAAGAATAATTTTATGGCGAGGGTCACCACAACACGAGGAACTGTATTAAAGGGTCACAGCATTAGGAAGGTTGAGAACCCACTGTTCTAGAGAAAGCAAGCCACTTTACAAAAGTGCAGCCCCTTTGCCTTCATAAGATGGCTCTGTGGCTGACTGCGCATATTCTGTGGGGTTCTTCCTGGCTGTTTATCCTGGAGACACGCAGAATGGACCGCTATTTGGAAGCATAACTTTGTGTTTATTTTTAGGCGTCCTTCAACACGACACTGAATGGTAGAGATACAGTTCACCAGTGGAGCTGGACCTCCGACCTGCCCCTGGAATGCGCTCCTCACTCTGTGGGGATCAGACAGTACATCAACCATCACCGTTTCTCCGGCTCTAAAAAGTGGAGTGCCTGGAGCTTCCTGAAGAACATTTCTTGTAAGCTTACTATTACAGACCCTTGTTCCTCGTGAGGTAGATTACTTAAGAGTAAGTGTTAGCGTTTGTTCTTGGTTTTCCGAATCCCAGCAGCTGTCTTCTAAAGCGGCCACCCCAGACTGGGGATTAAACTCTGAAACGGGCTGCAGAAAGCTGCGCTGAAAACCGTTTGTCAGTTAGACAGACCTCTTCCAACAGGTGGATGAACAGTGCTGGCAGGGCGAGTGGGGGCCGGGGCCGTCAGTGACCATAAATGAGGTCTAGAAAATGTTTGGTGTTCGCTGCAGGCGGACACTCCACGGAGCAACATCAGATAAGGAAGGAGCGGAAGCAGCTGGGTAAATAAGGAGAATCTGTGGCAGTTGAGCAAGAGACTGTAAATATAACTCAGGACAGTTAAGTTCAGAAGTAAGGGGGACGGGATGTGAGAAGCAGAATCTGATTTGGGGAGTGGGTGCTTATGGAAAGAAGCCGCGCCAACAGCGTCTGTTATTTTGGATAGCTGGAGAGACTGTTGGCACAGAAGCAAACTATCAGAACCGGTTGGCTGGGAAAGTGCAGTCTCACCGAGTGGTGAGGTGGGAATGCCAGTCTGGCATCCAGAGACATGGGTGGCGCTGTAGATGCCCCTTCGGGGATCGCAGATGTGTATATGATCTGAAGTGCTTACGTTCTGAAGGCCAAGATTACACTTAGGAGCTCTCCTGTCTGCAACAATACTGAAGAAAGACCTGTGGCCTAAGTAAGGGCTGCGAGTGGCCCAGAAAGTTCAGTGTGGTAGAACCCAAGAGACAGGGAGTTTGGATGAGTTTGGACGATGAATGAGGAGTGGTTCCTGGATCGAACATGGAGCCAGTGATCCACTTCCGTAGATCAGTAGAGGTAGAAGCCAGATGGCAGAGAAGAGTGGGGGGTAGAAAGGTGACCGGAGGCCATTGTATAAAGATCAGCTGTTAGGTGTGGAGCTGGGGTCCCTGACCTTAACCTGCAGAGCTGTGATTAAAGAACCAGCTGCTAGTTAGGCTGTGGGGTGCCTCCCACCTGTTGGCGCATGAGATGTAAATCCGCTCCAAAAACACAGATTAGTTTCCAAGAAATAAACTAGGTGTTTTCTTTGTGCATATAACATTAACCTATGACCATTGACATTGACCTGTGATCTGTTTCTGTCCCTGGATAAGTAAATAAGGCCACGGTTTCAATTCTTGCCTGTCTCTTACTTCTTTGAAACCCAAGAGACCTGCATTATCTCACATCTTCATGTATTTCACAGTATGTGTTACTGAACTAGTTTAAGCTCATCTTTCTTTCTTTATTTATTATGTATACAACATTCTACCTCCATGTATGCCCGCACACCAGAGGAGGGCGCCAGATCTCAGTGCAGATGGTTATGAGCCACCATGTGGTTGCTGGGAATTGAACTCAGGACCTCTGGAAGAGCAGCCAGTGCTCTTAACCTCTGAGCCATCTCTCCAGCCCAGTTTAAGCTCATTTTAAGAGTCAAGTGTGGTGGCATTCAGCAGAGACAGGAGGATTGCTGCAATCTTTGGGTCAGCCTTGGCTTCCTGGTGAATTCCAAGCCAATGCGGGCTACAGAATAATACCTTGTTTCAAAATAATAAAAAATAAGGGGCTCTGTTGGTAAAGTGCCTGCCACTCAAGCGGTTCTGTGACCCCAAGCCCCCGTACCTACCTTAAAGCTGGGCATGGTGACATTTGCAGCCCTGGCTCTCCAAGGGTGGGTGTTGGCAGATGGCCGGAGCTTTTTCTTCTGTCTAGCTTAGCTGGTTGGTAAGGTCCAGGTTCAGTGAGAGCCCCATCTCAGAAACTAAAGTGGAGAAACATTGAGAAAGATGCCCTATGTCAGCTCATAGTCTCCACGTATGCACACACCTACATACCATGATCACATTCATATAAAAATAGAGACAAAAATAAGTAAGTAAATAAGTAAATGAAAATAAAAATCATCCTAGGAGGTGATGTCGTAAGGAGGTGGTTTTGTGTAAAAGACATCTGACATGTTTGCGATTCCTCTTGTTTCTTTCTAGGGACTCCTGATTCCGAGACCAATGTTTTTCCTCAAGACAAAGTGATTCTTGCAGGCTCAGACATAACATTTTGTTGTGTCAGTCCAACAAAAGTGCTGTCAGGACAGATTGGCAAGACATTCCGTCCCCTTATCCATCTTTATGGGGAAAACGTTGCGATCCGTATCCAGAACATTTCCGTTTCTGAAAACAGTGGAACAAATGTGGTTTTCACAACAGAAGATAATGTGTATGGGACGGTTGTCTTTGCAGGCTGTAAGTATATCGTGCTACCTCGCTCCTCTTAGCCTGTGATGCTCTTTCCAACCTTAATTTCTTTTCCGCCAGCTGGTTCTGTTTTTTCCTTATTTCCTTGTCATTATGGCAGATACTAAACAGAGGCTCTAGAACGCTTGGATGGGAGCCTGGAACTCATTTCCTTCATTACCTATTCCGCTGTCAGTTCTGAGTTTCACAGTAAGGTTAAGACATCTAGCAGCTAAGGTTTAGTTTAAATTCCTAACGTCATAGTTGATTCAAAGTCCTTAGTATACACCTAATAATTTCATACATATTAATTTCCCGCTTAACTAATGTAAACTCTTAAGTACCCAGGTTTAAATATTATAGTGATTTTAATAGCACACTGTATCTTTCCCAGCATTTAAAGTAGCATAGTTGCCGGGCGGCAGTGGCACACGCCTTTAATCCCAGCACTCGGGAGGCAGAGGCAGGCGGATCTCTGTGAGTTTGAGGCCAGCCTGGTCTACAAGAGCTAGTGCCAGGACAGGCTCCAAAGCTACAGAGAAACCTTGCCTCGAGAAACAAACGAAAGGAAGGAAAGAAGGAAGGAAGGAAGGAAGGAAGGAAGGAAGAAAAAAAAGTTGAGGGCAGCAGTACGACAGCTGAGAAGTCTTATTCTTCATGTTGTCTGCCTATAGCGTGGGTGCCCTTGCTCGGGGAGACCTCTGTTACAGCGTGGGTGCCCTTGCTCGGGGAGACCTCTGTTATAGCGTGGGTGCCCTTGCTCGGGGAGACCTCTGTTATAATGTGGGTGCCCTTGCTCGGGGAGACCTCTGTTATAGCGTGGGTGCCCTTGCTCGGGGAGACCTCTGTTATAGCGTGGGTTCCCTTGCTCGGGGAGACCTCTGTTATAGTGTGGGTGCCCTTGCTCGGGGAGACCTCTGTTACAGCGTGGGTGCCCTTGCTCAGGGAGACCTCTGTCAAGGCGATTGACGGCTCCTGCAGCCTAAAATGTGCCTCGATGTTGCGGTGGCCGGCAGGCCTGCCATGCAGCTTCTGTGGCATGACCTCAGATTATTATGTGCTTAGGACTTTTAGTTTTGATGTTGAACTTTCTACTTCCTCCCCTATGGCGGGCACCACCTGTGGCCACGATGCCCTTGTTTTCGCTACTGTGAGTTTGTAAGTTCTGAGTTTTGTCTCTGGGTCTCATGATTAAAGGTGTGTGAGACAGTTTGAGTGGATTTTATGTTTTTTTAGTCTGTTCTAGGGATTTCTCTATCAGTGAACTATTCTAGCAATACAGGCTCTCTGATATCTTGCATTTATTCCTTGCTACTTGGTGTTTTCTTATGTTAATTTGTTTTTAGACATTGTCTCATTCTGTATCCCTAGTTGCCCTGGAATTCCTAGGTAGTCCAGGCTGGCCTCGAACTCACAGAGATAAGCTTGCATTCACTAGAGGGTAGGATTAAAGGTGTGTCCCACCGTGGCCCCACTTAACAATATTTTCAAAATTGTATTTTATATTTGCTGGTATATTAAAAATAGGGGATTTATATTTAGATTTACCTAATTTCAATTTAATTCTTTTAAAAGTTAATTTGTTTGATAAGAAAATAAGTACATTTCAAAGATTGTCTTCTCATTTTTTTACTTCCTATCATATTCCTGTTTCTTTTTTATTTGTTCTTATTATTTGGACTTTAAGTAGATTAATAAGCATACTTCATATACTAATATAATCATCACTATAAATGTAGTCCAGATTTTCAGCTTGTAATTTTAATAAAATGGTGGGTAATTTGGCCTTAGGTTTAAAACAGTTTTCAAAATAAGCACACCATTGTTTATCTAATTGTCTAGTTCACTAGTCAACCTCAGTATTAGCTAAAATGTCATGGGAGGAGCCTCTGAAATCTCAGCAAGCAAGGACACTCGTCTCACAGTCCTGGGACTTGACTGGGATCCCTGGAACCGTATAAAGATGAAAGGGGAGAGGCAGTTCCACCCAGCTGTCCTCTGACCTCTACACATGCTCCATGGCCCACATGCAATATTAATAAATAAAAATTGAAGCATTACTGGGATCTCTAGGAGGAGTATAGAAAAAAATGTATTTTGGTTGACAACTGGGTACCATTTGAAAACTTCACTTCCTTCAAAAACAAAATTACTTTTGCAGAGTATTTCAACAGGCAGATTAATGGTTTTTAACTTTCACAGAAAGTGAAAGTATTTATATAAATACAGCATTAGGATAGGCCAGTGTCTCTTTGTGTTTGGTTACCCATGATTATAGCGATCTGTTTCTATAATAAGGTGCCGGACCATGGCGATTTTAGATTTTACTCTACGGCTTTTGCATCTTCCTCCAGACCTGACCTTTTTCTTTTTCCTCGGCCCCAAAGTAAAGGCAGAGCAGATAGTTTCTGTGAGCATCTGCCAGGAATCTTACCCATGTACAGAACTTTCTCAATCCCAGTGTGTAAATAGATGGGACGTGATAGTGGTTCCAGACTGTAGGTTCTGGTGGCTTAGCTGGGAAGACTTTGAAGTAGAGTCTAAGGAAAAAGAAATTTAGTTCATTTCTCACCTTGCTGCTGGGAATTTGCTGAGTTGCAAGTCACTCTCTAGAGTGTTTTAATCCCCTATTTCTGATGCAGTGCGAGCTGTAACAACACAGCTTGCAGAAGCAGTGATAAGAAAATTGCCGCACCATCTAAGGAGGAAACGTGTAAACAGCAAATGATTTGAAGAGAGTTATGCAAAATCTCACTTAACGGCCTGTAAAACTGCAGTTTGGGGGAGAAGATACGGAGCTACTTTGTTCTCCTTTTCCTTCCAGATCCACCCGATGTTCCTCAGAAACTGAATTGTGAGACGCATGATTTCAAAGAGATTATTTGCAGCTGGAATCCGGGGAGGCCAACAGGGCTGGTGGGCCCACGAAATACAGACTACATTTTATCTGAAAGGTAATGGTCCCCGGGAAAGAGTGCTGGTGGCAGGAACCTCGCAAGAACCCCTTGAGTGACATGGGAGTCTGGCACATTGCTGCCATGCAAGCCAGCATGCTGTGTTGGGGTCATGTGACTGGACCGACTGCAGCTGGCTCCTGTGTGGTTGCAGTGCCATGCCTCTTCTGTCTGAAGGCAAACAGAAGGGCCCCAGATAGTCTAGGCAGTGGCTTATGCCTGGTTATTTTCTGTATCACACACCATTTCCTTGAGTTTGTGATTAGTCTAGAACTGAACTTTTTATAAAAATTAATCAAAATCTGCCCGTTTTTCCCTCCACTATATTTACATCTTACTGTCCTGAAATTATTTTTCTTTGTGACTGACAGCATTTCGGGAAAATCCGTCGTACTGAAAAGATTTGAAACACTTACAAATGAAAGCTGTCGTTTAACCTTCCAAATACTTCCCGACCAAGAAATCTATAACTTCACCCTGACCGGTCACAACCCACTGGGACGAGCAGAATCAGTAATACTTATCAACGTAACTGAAAGAGGTGAGCCGCTATTGCCAGCCAGGGTCTAAAATCACTACAATAAAAATAACACATGACAAGCCTTGGGACTCATGAAAGGTGGCTATAAGGATGAGTGTTTATTGGTTATTTTCTTTAGCGTTTTTTTTCAATTTTATAATTATTTTTTTAAGAATCTTAATTTAAAGCATTTAAATGAATAACTTTAAATTTGCTGATTATTTTGAATTGAAACAAAAATTTGAGTCATTTAGAGCGAAATTATACATAGCTTTGTCTACTCATTCTTGATTTCTGAACATTTTCTTGGACAGTTCTTAAGAACATTTACTTTAAAATATTTTTTTGATGCAGAAAGTTATTGTAAAAATAATGAATTACAACTCTGTGAACCTTCCTGTCTTTCCCCAGAGGTGACAACAAGAACAGGAAGGTGACTGGTGCATACCGTTCTCTAGGCCGCTAACCTAGATGATTCTTTTTGCTCAGTTTTGTGTGCGTTCACTAGAGAGTGTTCAGACGTGCTGAAGTACTTCCATGAGGAGTTCCTTTGCATTGTGTGGGCAGTGTGGATCTCAGTGTGATGGTGGTTACCGGTGTCTTTACACAGATACACCCTCTCGCTCTGTCTTTTTGTCTCTGTCAGATTGCAACAGCTGTCCGTCCTTTATCCCCTATTTTGTCATTGTGAGTGTATTTTAAATAAAAACGCACCGTGTATAACCATTTGATGCTGGCATTTCTTAGCATAATATCCCCAAGAGACATCCAAATTGTTTTTTAGTTACTAATTTCTTCCTATATCAATGATTTTTTTTTTATTTTGGGGGACAATAATGATACACAGCTCAGAACAGAAATAAGATGTGTGTAGTCTTTTTGTGGTTTGTCCCATTGTCAGCCCAAATGAGCCATCCCTTGCCAGGCTCATCCACATCCAAAAAGCTCACAGAGATTAGCAGAAGAAAGGGCTATGAACAAGAGCTGCATCCACGAGTGGATGGTGGAGGGCCCAGCGCCTCATTGCTACTTTTGTAGCATTTTTCCAAATGCATGTTTATTTTGTATTGTTTATGGGGGTAGGTATATGCTGTGTGTGCCGCCTATGTGCAGGTACCTGCAGAGGCCAGAAGAGGGACTCAGATCCCCTGTAGCTGGAGTTATAGGCAGTTGTGAGCTGCCCACGGTGGGCAGCGGTGTGGTGCTGGAAACAGAAATCAGGGCCTTGGGAAGAATGTAAAGTGCTCTTAACCACGGAGCCACCTCCAGTCCCTGCTTTTTTATCTAGTATTCCATCCTGTCATCATTTCCTGTTTCATCCCAGAGTTAAAAGGCTACGTTTTGTAGCTGAAGGTATTGCTTGCATTGGTCCACCTTCGTTTTTGTTTTTGGTGGTGGTGGTTTGGTTTGGTTTGGTTTTCTGGTTTACCCTGTGTATGGTTCTTCCTTTGACCTCAGAGTTCACAGCCGTTGTAAGACTCCCCCCATCCTGAACCACACTGAATTCCTGTGTCAGTTGCATCATCACCGCACACATACCTCGGACAGACGGCTGTCAGTACCTCTTGGTATTTGTCACCCTCTGTGAACACTACGAGCCTCTTAAACTTGGCTCTTCTACTGCCTAACTTTCCCAGCACTGGATGAACAACCTTGAGCGCAGTTGGTTCTCTGAGAGCACTGGTTGCATAGTAACAGTAAAAATAAGGTCTCTGGGTCCCACAGACTGTATTGGTTTAGGCATTAATAGTACCTCTCTGCTGTTCTTCCCCTACCGCATAGACTCATCCTTTGGTTCTAGTTTGTCTGACTAGGGCAGACCGTTTCACCCTGAACATTTACAGGTATTAATCTTTATAATCCTGTTTCCAGTTGCTCCTCATGTGCCTGTTTCATTGAAAGTGAAGGACATCAATTCAACAGTTGTTACCCTTTCCTGGCATTTGCCAGGAAATTTTGCAACGATTAATCTCTTGTGTCAAGTTGAAATTTGCAAAGCTAATTCAGAACAAGAAGTGGTAAGTAAGATTCTCCTATAAACTTTTTCTTTTGGTTATTATGAATAAAATTATTCAAAAACAGCTAAGCAAACTGTATTACAGGGATTCATAAATCAAAAAAGACTTTATATACAAATGTAATGGCAGCATTGTAATTTGCACTTGAAACAATTATAAAACTGGACAGTAAAGAATAGAACTTCAACTTTAGCTGTTCAGAATTCCGTCAGGCTTAGTCTGTAATACTCGCGTGTAACTGGGTGATTAAGAATTAGCTTTGACTGTATGTCGCCTTTGACTGAGTGGCACAGGAGAGTAGAAGAGAATTTTAAATTATTAAGTGTAGGCCTGGAGAGATGGCTCAGTGGTTAAGAGCATTGCCTGCTCTTCCAAAGGTCCTGAGTTCAATTCCCGGCAACCACATGGTGGCTTACAACCATCTGTAATGAGATCTGGTGCCCTCTTCTAGCCTGAAGGCATACACACAGACAGAATATTGTATACATAATAAAATAAATAAATAAATATTAAAAAAAATTATTAAGTGTATCAGTGGAAGCAAGTTTTAATTGGTAATTATAAGTCAGAAGAGGACTTTTTAATACATTGAAATAATTGGATTGACTTACACTGTACCCTTTTGTAATTTGTGGTAACTGTGAAATAAATGGTATAGTCGTTGAACATTACTTTGGAAATTCACTGGTTTCGGTAAAAGCATTCAGAAGTGCACAGCATGACCTGCAAAGCCACTTTGTAAAAGGCAGCTGAGAATTCAGATATTTTCCTGGCACATTCATCCTCAAATTTGTGTAAAATTGCTTCACTTTAATGTTATTTATTTTCATTTTTTTGTCTTTTTCTAAATATTCAGTGCCATACTAGAGGCCCTACGTGACATAGATGCACGCATAAATTGTACCATTTGCTGCCAGGGTGATTTTCATTATCCGTGGAATATGTCTTCATCCCCAAGCTCGTCTCTTATTGCCAAATTGTGTTAAAGTTAATAATCACTAGCTATTAACTGTAACTGATTATCACAATAATAGCTATATAATTTAACTGACAATTATTATTTAGATTCAATAATTAAATTAAATATGCATTCCAGTATTTTATTGGCTGCTATGTGTTGGTTAGGTCCCAAGAAATTCCTTTCTGCAAAGACTGGCATTTAAGGAGATAGTTTCTGCTTGCTAAAAGAGAGTCATTCTCTTTGTCTCTGGAGAAACAGACATACGGCTCCCCCATTAATGTATGTCTGTGAAGCCATTAGCATATCCAGGTCTATACTAGCCTCTAGGCTCACTCAGGCCTCACTCACAAGTGTCTGTTACAGAGTCACTCTGGTGGGCATACCCCACCTGCTACCCTAAGCCTCTCCAGCCCCTGAGCTTCCCCACCTTCTCTTATTCCTTATGACCCAGCCATAAGCTTCTCTTGTTCCTATGCAACCCAGCTGTTTTGGCTCCATGCTCTCTGAGCTCCTGTGTGATTTGTTCCCTCTCTCTTCTCTTTCTCTTTCATCTCCCAACCCCATGGCTGGTCTATTCAGTCTGGCTGTGCTCCCCTCATATCTCCAATATAAAAACCTTCTCTTCAACCATACCTAGGAGCGGTCGGTCATGTCCTCATTTTCATTCACTATGGAACATAATTCTATTGTTGTAGTATTTCGTGAGAATTAAAACACTGAACTCTGTTCTAACTACAAACAGGTGTGATGTTCAGTTGGTTTATATCACAAGTGTAGACTGATTTAATATCAACAGTATAATGCACATGGACATATTATATATCCATACACGCATGGCATATACACATTAGCACCCAAATATATTTACTTCTTTTCAAATAGCGGAGTGCCACAATCAAAGGAGCCGAGGATTCAAGCTACCTTTTGGCTGTGGACAGATTAAATCCATACACTGTGTACACTTTTCGGGTTCGTTGTTCTACTGAAACCTTCTGGAAGTGGAGCAGGTGGAGCAATGAAAAGAGACATTTGACCTCAGAAGCCAGTAAGTTACGTGATGGTGCGGCTAATCACTAACGGGGTGCAGGGAGGATACAAGAGAGGTACCCGGCGGCAGTCACATGACTATGAGGATGCTTTCATCCCATTCTCTGAGCCCTTGTGTTCTGTAGAAGTTGAGAGCTTAGCTTCATCTAGTGCTTCTCGGTTGCATTGCTTTAGAAATGGAAGCCACATCTTATGGATAATTCTAGATACCCTAGAGTGAAGTCCAAGCACCCCATTTTAGTCGCTGATACTGTCCACTGCCTTGCAGTCTGTGTCTTCAAATTCTCATGCGAAAATCTCTTTCTTAGCTCCTTTAAGGGGACCAGATACTTGGAGAGAGTGGAGCTCCGATGGAAAAAACTTAATTATTTATTGGAAGGTAAATATTTATGGTTTCCTTGGATGCTTAATTTTTTTTTATTTAAATGCTTAATGTACAAATGGTAACTCGGTTTTTGTGGATACTTTCAATTGTACTTGCTTACGTAGTATTCAACTGTACTGGTAAATGGTCCATGAAATACAAAGTCACTGAAATCTATACAAGGAGCCCAGGCTTCCCAGACTGGTTAAGTTTGCCGTCTTCCAAGCCCGCATTTCCCATCACTCCTGATTCCCCAAGCGTTGAGAGGGTCTCTTGCCTCAGTCTCGAGCCCATAGTTGTGAGGCCCATAACACCACGCATGTGAAGAGCTCATAGGAAAACTTGTGGGGATTCTTTCTTCTACTGTGTGGGTCCTAGGGATTAAGCTTAGATCTTCAGGCTGGGCGGCAGTCACCCTTAGCTGCTAAGCCATCTTGCCACCCTTTCCTTCAATTTTTGTATTTTTTCTAGTGATTTTGTAGCAGTCATGTAATATATAAAAGGAGGAAAGAATACATGTGCTAGAACACCATGCCAGACTGCTGTGTTTCCCCTAGTGGCTCAGTCCTTCGGGCCATGTCTTTCATTTTTGCTTCTGGAAATTATAAAAATTGAACAGTTTTATATTAATGTTTACATTTCTGTGGATTTTCGGTACTTAAAAAGTGTGCTTCTTTTTTACCTTTTCATGCCTTAAAAAAAAAAAAACATGGCATCAGTGAATTTTAAAATTCAAGTTTCACACTCCTGATAGCTTCATAGTCTATTTTCACTTTTTATTGGGAACTTAGCCCAGTTTAGGCCTGATGACCTTGCCCAAGCCTTGTACCCTTTTGCAAGCTCTAATGAGAGAATTTGTTCTTCCGTTTGCTGTAGCCCTTGCCCATTAGTGAAGCTAATGGAAAGATTCTTTCCTATAATGTATCGTGCTCATCAAATGAGGAGACCCAGTCCCTTTCTGAGATCCTCGATCCTCAACACAGAGCAGAGATGCAGCTGGATAAAAACGACTACATCATCAGTGTGGTGGCAAAGAATTCTGCTGGCCCATCGCCACCTTCTAAAATAGCCAGTATGGAAATCCCGAACGGTGAGTGCTCGGGAGAACGTACAGGAGCGGATGGAAGTAGAAACCGTGGGTGCTGCCAGCTCCCCTCATGAGCCTGCTCCTCCCATGCGACAGCATGTCTGTCTATACACACAGAGGACCAAGTACAGGAGTGTCCGCTGCTGCTCACTGAGGGCTGCAGTCGGTAGTAGTTTTTTGTTTTGTTTTGAGACAAGATTTTGCTATGTGGTCCAGGCTAGCTTCGAACACACTAGGTAACCAGGCCAGACTTGAGTCTCCTGCCTCAGCCTCCTGGGTATCCTCAGTATTGACTGGAAGCCTGTAAACGTGTGAAAGATAATAATTACTGTATCTAGTTAGCTTGTCACAGAGTATGAGGAGTTCTGGTCGTGGGCAGCAATCTTGGGAGGCAATACTTTAAACTGGTCAAAGACCTTTTAAAAACTCTCTTTCCAAGTCTAAGGGTTTCTGTTGTCTGTCCTTTTTTGCAGCCCATTGTGCAGAAAAAGGCACTTGTTTTAATTGGCAGCTTTGTGGTCATTGATAATTTTTTTTCTCCTTGAGTGTGTTTTTTTGTTGTCATTGTTTATAATTGTCTTTTTAGCTAAGGTCTTGTATAGTCCAGGCTGGCCTGGAACTTGCTGTGAAGCAAAGGATGACCTTGAACTCCTGATTGTCCAGCTCCAAACCCAACATAGAAATTCTCCATATTGATAAGAAAGCTTCATTAGTAAGGGTTTTGAAAACCAAAAAATCCAGCAGATGGAATTTTAAAATGTCAGTGTTTGCCTCTAAATTGCCACAGATTGCCAGTGACTCACCACAATCCCTCTTGGTTTTCACATGCACTTTTTTTTTTTTTTAAGAATATACTAAGAGCACAAAGCTTGCTATTTCCACACATCCGTACATAACTTACTTGAACCATCTTTACCTCTGGTGCCCTTCACTAATTCCCCACCCCCACCACCTGCTAGCCTTTCCTCTTCCCCCAAAGCTAGACGGCTTTCTGAGTCATGAGTTTTAAATGGCCACTTCCACCTCTTCTTCCAGTTACTTCCTGAGTTCATTTGCTGTCCTTCCCCAGTATGAGAACAGCTTTTTATGGGCCCACTCTGAACAGAAAGAAAAACAGTCTGGTTGGGTTTCCCCCGCATGTCTCTCAGCGCTCGCTTGTGGTGGTTTCTTGGCACTGGCCTGGTTCATTGACTTGTCCCAGGCGGGGATCACAGAGAATTATGAAGCAGGAAGGTTTAGCAGGGTCGTTTCAAAGACTTGGCCACACCCAGGCCACAGCACAGCCCGAAACCTAGGCAGTGGAGGGCATGGCAGATGGCATGGCACGTGCAGGCGCAGGGCTCAGCAAGGCGTCCAGCGAGCCCTCACTTGGACCTGGGCATTTTAAAGACGGCAGTTGTATCTCTTTAATTACTGTGTTGTCTCTAACTGGAGCTTTCTGACCCTGCCTATTCTGTGTGTCTTTGAGAAGGTGGTTTCAGATCTAACTGTGTCACAGCTCACACACTGACATCAGCAGCCCGTGGTTCTCACTCCCAGAGTCAGAGGCTACACAGCCTCAGCTCACATTTGCACCGTGGCTTTGTAGGTACATTGAGCCCGAAAGCAGTCTGACGTCCGGACGAGTAGCTGCTTTATGAGCGCAAATTTATTTGAAAATCCTTTCTCTATATGGGGTTGTTTTGTTTGTTTGTTTTGTTCTTTAACCAGACCCTTACATATAAATGAGTTGGAGCAGTCATTCTCTTTTCGTGTCCCTGTAAGAACCCATTCCCCTTTCTTGGCCCTAACTGTGCTGCCCTCTACTCTGGTCCCTCACACCTCACCTCCCTCCTCACTTATCCCTTAGGCCCAGGTCTAGCAGAAAGTAAGGTAATCCTCCCACAACCACAGATCTACCCTTGCTCCCCAGTGTGTGCACACACACTCCACACCCCAGCATCTCATGGTCTCTGGGAATGCTTCTGCCCACACGAGTCATCCCACCTCAAACTCTGCTGCTTCAGCCATTCTCCACCCTCTGTGCTGCCCCTAGATGGTTCCCTCAGCCCCGTGTTTGGGTTGGGGTGCGTGAGTCCTGGAAAGCAGATGGCCAGCTCTTCATTTCCGGGTGCTCCGTCTGCCTCCTCTGTGCGGCTCCTTTTCCCATAGAGCTCTGCTCACTGTGGACGGTGAGAGCAAGAGTTAATTGTCCCCTGGCCCTTCCCCAGCCCCCTGCCTCCTTCTCTCACCCCACATGGTCATGCTGTGGTCCTCCTCCCCGTGCCAGCCTAGCCCCTAGTGTGCGTCTACCTGATTCTAGAAGCTTTTCAGTTTCTCTCCTCAACTTCTGTGTCATTAATTTTCTGGATAAAGGTAAATGCTATCGTTATTCCAATAAGGTTAATACTACAACACTTCTTTGCTAAATATTGACATCTAGTTCAACTACTATTTTAGAATTATCTACAGTGAAATAATTTTTATAACTACCGTCCATTTTCTTAAGACTTGCCCTTTGGTATTTCTCTGACTGCCGATAAAATGTCTCTCTTACCTTGCTGAAGATGGCGTCATAGTAGAACAAGCTGTTGGAATGGGAAAGAGGATCTTCCTCACCTGGCATTCTGACCCCAACATGACCTGTGACTACGTCATTAAATGGTGCAACTCATCTCGTTCTGAGCCCTGCCTCATGGACTGGATAAAGGTTCCTTCAAACAGCACCGAGGCTGTAATAGAATCTGGTAAGAAGAACTCATGGCTCTCCCAGGCCTTCGGGGGGGAGGGGAGGTTTAAAAGCCACACAGATGTGACTGGATACTGTCGGCAGGCATGACCTCATTTATCCTAATTCAGTGTGGCTTGTGGCGTGTCTCTGGGAAAGACTAACCCTTGGAGGTGGGTTTTCCTTGTCCAGGGATTTACTCAGAGATGTCATCAAAGAGGAGTGTATATCTGCATCTGTTTTTGTGTTTTGAGGTAGGGCCTCAAATTCGGAGATTCACCCGCTGCTGAAATTTAAAGTGTGCTCCACCACACCCAGCTCCGAAAGTGCTCTTGATAGCATTGTTTGTAATCTGAAAATTATAGCTAAGTAGCAGATAAGGGAATAAATGGCCGTGTATTGATAAAATAGACTTTAGTAGGAAGAACAGTTAGGTCAAGTATGAAGCAGCACAGAAAACACCACCAAAGAAAGGAGACGACATAGTCAGTGCCCTTTTTTGCCTTATATTGTCCAGGACCCGGGTCACTGCGGCCTTGCTGCCACAATCAACCCTTCATGATAGGTACAGCCTGAGAAGTGTGGCACCCACGGAGGCTTGGACCCCACAGACTAACCCCGCTCTCCTTTGGAAGCAGAGGCCTCCCTCCTTGGTACTGCCGTGCCTTCTGCTGAACCAGTGTGTGCCTACACCTTTGGGGTTCTCTTGGGCCAGTTTTGGGTCTGTAGGTCATGATCCTTCTTGAATCACCAGCTCCTGGTCCTTCCTCATCTGTTGGGGAAGCAAGCTGGAGAGTGAGAGGTCCCTAGTTGCTTCTCTCCCTAAGACAGGTTCTTCTTGTTTATTGTTTGGAAACTCTGTCAAAGGGTGGGAATTCCCTCATTGATTAACCACATGTGAGTTCAGATATTTTCCCTTCTGCTTGGGCACTTCTGCAGTTGACTGAAGTCATGATTGTCTTTCGAGGTGCTTCCTTTCTCCTCTGGCCGCCCTCCGTTCTTCCATCCTCCTCGTCCCGGCACCTGTTCCCGATTCCTCTCATGTGGGGCTGACTTGACTGAGCCTCACACTGAGCCTCTGCTCTCTCCTCTCCCTCCTGGGATTTCAGAATAAGTGGGATGCCCTGGGACGGGGCATCATGGTCAGTGTTTCTGGGAGAGCAAGGTGTGATTGAGGTCCCTCGGGATGGGGAGAAGCCACTGTAATAAGTGCTGCTGTGTGTGAGCAGGGTCTCTGCAGTGGCTGAGGACACAAAGGCACAGAGTACTCGGACAAGTGTAGTGGTACCCGAATTCAAATGCAGGACTACTCAACGCTTCAGAAGGCTGGGGCTCTCGGCTTTTATTCCCTACTGAGCTTCTGGGCCAGGCCCTTCCCTGGTTCTTCTCTTAATGCAGCTTCCTCTCCTTCAGCTCTCCACTCTCTGTCATGATATCTGTGCCACCCTCCAGTCCCTTTTAAGTGACATATCGATAGCATGTAATTTTAACATAAAACAAGGCATGGGTTTACAGGCAGTATAAAACCATAGCCTGAAGTATACCTTTGCTGCAATGAAGAAGGGCCCCCAATAGAATGCACTTGGGCTGAGTTGACTTTCCATCAGTATTTGCTTAGTACTTGGAAGCACAGAGCAAACACTTGAGAAAAAATCGTGATGGGAGAAAAGTTAAAAAGAGACAAAAACCAGTTTTAGAGCATGTTATTTTGAGGTTGACCATCTCGCTGTGACCTGTGGAATTCAGGTGTTCTTTGGGCATGAGGTTTAAGGAGCCATTGCGTTAACCACACTGGAATGGTTGCTCCACACAGGAGCTGATAGCTCCTGCACTGTTAGAACGTTATTAAAGCATTATCCTCTTCCAAGATGAGCTGCTTCATGGTTTTTCACCATCCTCTTCAAAGGTCGCTTAGAGGGCTTGTTCTGATCTTCGTGTTCTTGATTGGTACTTCACTTAAGATCCCATACATCTCCCATGAGAGTCATGGTTGGCGCCTGCCCGTGTTTCTTCCCCATGCTTGCCAGCTTCTCCATGTTGGGCATGTGGCTCTGTGAATGTCTGCGTTTCTCACGTCTTGCATGCTCTGTTGGGTTGTGTAACTGATGAGACATTAAAAGGTGCTTCATGGGTTGAAGAAAGAGACTAAACTAGCAGGGGTGGGGTGGGGTGCACACAAGGGAAGGCGGGGCAAGAGACCCAGGTGTAAGTATGAACGTGTGAAGATGCCGTGATGGCTTACTCTGTGTGCTAACCTAACAATTAATAATAATAAAAAGCCAAAGATACTTCCTTGCGAGTCCTGCTCAGTGAGTGTTAGGAGGAGAAACAAACTTCCAAGGCCTGCCTGGTTCCTTTGTCCCTGAGGTTCTGAGCTGGAGTGGAGTTTTCAGTGCTCTGGGACTAGGGGAGAGATGTTGTTTCTTGCACAGAGGAAAGCAGAATCATTCATTAGTACTTTGTGACCACGAAGTTGCGTAGTGAACAGACTGGGTGGCATCTGGGAGGCAAGAACAAGATGTCAACCTCAGTCATAGTTTTTTCTCTTCTAAGAAATGTCATCTCACGATCTCGAAGATTTTTATTACTATAGAAGTGAAGGTGTTCAAGTTTTGCTTAATGCTCCTAAATGTTTGCCAGTTTTATTTAAAAAGTACCAATATGTTTTCACAGTAAACCTGTTTGCAATTAGATTGGGAAATTTTATCATGTTGTCCATTTTTATGCTTCTAGAATAAATATTCTTGCTTACCTACATAAACTTATGAGTGTTCACTGATTTTGTTCATCCTACAGATCAATTTCAGCCAGGAGTGAGATATAATTTTTACCTCTATGGGTGCACTCATCAGGGATATCAATTGTTGCGTTCTATAATTGGATACATAGAAGAATTAGGTAAGTTAAATCAATGAGTTATTTTTTTTTAAAGTTTGGATAACATGAGAAATTATGAATAGGAAAATAGCAAGAGTTAGTCTCCAAAATATATTGATTTAGTTGTTTAGATCAAGGAAGATAAAATAATGTCTGTCACAAATTTAAATTTAAATTTTTTAATCACTTATTCTCCAATAAAAATATACTTGTTTATTTCACAGTTTCAGTATTGGCATTGAGAAAGCTAAATCAAGGCTGTCAAAAATACTTGCTTTGTGTTTATAGACACTTAAACTTGGGAATGTATCCAGGACTAAATAAAAAGGGGGGCTAAGCATGAAGTCTGTTCGAGTGGTCACTTAAAGATGTGGCACAGGTTATCCCTGGATGTGTGTCAAGGCTATGATTCCTTCCTGAGCTCCGCTGGTCATCAGTGTGGAAGTGTTGGCCCATTGCCTGCGGGGTTCATGACGGAGTAGAGAATACAGTTTAGTGCCACGGTTCGCCGTCTCTGAAGTCAGCCCCCTCAAAAGCTGCTGGTGCCCCACCCTTCAGCAAGTGGTTTCTTGTTTTGACAGCTCCAATTGTGGCACCGAATTTTACTGTGGAAGATACTTCTGCAGATTCGATCTTAGTAAAATGGGAAGACATCCCTGTGGAAGAGCTCCGCGGCTTTTTAAGAGGGTATTTATTTTACTTTCAGAAAGGAGAGCGAGATACACCTAAGACAAGGAGTTTCGAGACGGGTGAGTTAATGCGGCATCGGTTACAGTGCTAAAATACACATGAAGAGAAAAGTCTAATGCATAGCTAAATAACCGTTCCCAAGGCTGTCTGGGAAGGTGTACAATAAATGGCATGTAAATTCTTCAAAAGTCAGAATCACTTACTGTGAATCCTTTCCTTGTGAGTCCCACAGAAGGGTGTCCACTTCTTGCTAGTGTGGCATATTCTATACCATAGGATATTATTCATTTTTTAAAATGTGGTTTTGTATTTAATAACAAAAGAGGCAGAAAAGAAAAACCATGAATACAAAGAAGGGGTTCCGAGCCCTAGTTATAATCAGGAATCAAAATGGTGGCAGACTTGCCTGTCAATGGGTACTGGAAGATACTCCAGAAATGTCTTCAAAACGCTGGGTGACTGCTATTCTTAGCCTAAAATTCTGCAGCCAGCCTCTCTGTCAGACAGTAGCAGGGTAGGACCAAGGTTCTCTAGGCATACAAGGCTGCGAGTGTTTCCTTCCCCTGTACTGCCTTTCTCTGGAATCTGCTAGAAGGAAGACTGCTTCACTGACTGGAAGAGAAGGAGGAACTTGCAGAAAGGAGCTGGGAAGTGGGGTAGGGTCAGTGGAGAGGGCAGCATATGCCACAGGGGCTAGAAGAGCAGCCCCCATCAGGAGGAAGTGGGAGCCTGAGGGTTGGTTACTTCCATACATGGAAAATGTACTGAGGATTCGCTGAAGCGTATGGGAAGAACTGAGAAATTAGCACATAGAAATTTTAAAACAATTAAGCAAAAGAAGGGCAGAAAGCAATTACAATAGGAAAGAAAAATGCAAATATACCAAGTAGCTTTTTAAAAAAAAATCAATGACCAATCTTCTGTGATTGTAGCAATGTGAGCATTGAATTCCCTCACCCAATATGGTGATGCTTTTCTGTGAATGTGGTAGGGGACAGGCAAGGATAGTGAGTCTAAAGGAGCTAAACCTCCTCCATCCTTTCTGAACAAACATAGGCTAAGAGCTGGTTACCTAAGCTTGCTGTTGTGAAATCCAGGTGAACTCTTACAGAAAGGCTCCCTGATTTCTAGGTGGCCGTGGAGGCAAGGGGCCAGAAGGACCTGGTTCGTTTCATCAGTCACTGTTTATTACTGCTTGGCTGTTTCAGCTCTCGCCTTACATTATTTTGGTCGCGACTTTCATGAATGAAACAGTTAACCAATCTTCACCCTTCCCTTTGAAGTGATCCCAAAGCATCCTCATAGCATCCTATTGTTGAGAATTCCCACCATGTGCGTCCTTTCCTAAGGACTGAGGTCATGTCTACTGCCCTTCACCTTTGCCCTGCCCAGTCTCTGCCACTGCTTCCTAAGGGCCTGTGTTGAGTGCCTTTGAGTTTCAGGGCTTTCTCTGAAGTGACTTTCACGGGTTGCCCGCCCTATGCCAGGCATTGTTCTAAAGAAGACGCCTGGAAACTTGACTGTCGCTGGGAGCCAAGCCATGCTGTTCCCTTGCAGAGTCAGAGAAGCCTGAGTTTAAAGAGTTTAGATGGTGTGGCTGGCAGGAATAGAACGGAAGGTGGCCCCAGATCCTTGTCTGGGTGTGGCCAGAAGTCAGACTTGTTTTCCAAAGGGTGCCTGGTTGCATGTCCGAGTGTTTAAAGTGACCTTAGAATGAGTGAGACTATTCTTCGCTTTAGGTCATTCTGACATCAAGCTGAAGAATATCACTGACATATCCCAGAAGACGCTGAGGATTGCTGATCTTCAGGGGAAAACCAGCTACCACCTGGTCCTGCGAGCCTACACGCATGGAGGGCTGGGTCCAGAGAAGAGCATGTTTGTGGTGACCAAGGAAAACTGTAAGTTCCACAATGCCCTAGAAATGCCTTCCCCATTGAAGTGATACTGTCTCTAACGTCTGGGGGCTGCCCAGGCATCTTTGTTCCGAGCCCTAAGGCAGTGGTTCTCAGCCTTCCTGGTGCTGTGACCCCCCCAACCATAAAATTATTTTCATTACTACCTCATAACTATAACTTTGCTACTGTTGTAAATCATAATGTAAATATGTTTTGGAGATTGAAGTTTGCCAGAGGGGTCACGACCCTCAGGTTGAGAACCATTGCTTTAAGGCTTCGTATTTTTATGTCAGAATGGGGAGAGTGTTAAAAGTCACGAGAGGACTTTTTGTTTTGTTTTCCTGTCAGTTTGAACAAACTATTTCCCAATGAATATATAAGAAATTAATTAATCTAGGGAAGCACCCAAAATCTAGAAGTGTAAATGCATAGTGGATTTTTTTTCTAAGTTCAGTTTAAATATTTTCCCCAGCTAGTTTGATTTTAATATGTCTAGGGAAGTGTGTAAGGAACATTCATTAAAGGTTAGTAAAACACCACACTTTGTACGTCTGAAATGGCACTCAACAAGTAGCCCTTACTGTCATGGGAGAGCTTCTGGTTCAACTTGAGTGTTCCCCTCAGCCAGGATGGAGTTCACATCCAGGTCTGAAGTACAGCGCCATGACACTGTGGTGTACTAAAGCTGTGTTTCGGTGGGAGGTGGTTTTGCCCCCTCGAAGACACCTTGGCAGTGCCTGGGGGTGTTTTTGACGGTAACTGGAGTGCTGCTGGCATCTCCTGGGTAGAGACCAGGATGTGGCTAAGCCTCCCACCGCGACCAGGACAGCCCTTCCCTCCCCTCCTCACACCAGAAACATCTGGCCCTGTGTTACCAATGACAGGGTTGAGCAATTCTGCTGTTTCTCAGTGTCCCTGGATTGGTTAGATTTTTTTTTTTCTGTCTCTTCAAATAACACTTAATCCTAATTTAAGTTTATTCTTCCAGAGGTGATTTTCAATATTTATAACTGCTTCCTTTCAGCTGTGGGATTAATTATCGCCATCCTCATCCCAGTGGCCGTGGCTGTCATTGTTGGCGTGGTGACAAGCATCCTGTGCTATCGGAAGCGAGAATGGTAATGGAACGTCTGCATTCACCCATTTGTTTGCCAGATTCATTATCCATCATGTTGCGCAGATTGGTCAAATATGCTCTTTTTAGTCAGACTTCAATATCAAGTAAGAATATGACATTTGATTGAAAATATCTAAGAACTCGTAGAGTAAAAAGGCACATTCCTCCCCCACCCGCCGTCTTTACTAATAATTTATAGTAATGGCAGATTGGCTTTAAAGATATTTTCACACAGAAATTGGCAGTGGCTATCTGCAGGATTCGATGGACCCTAATGATTAAGATGGCACAGGTCCTGATGACCCTTTAGAATTGTTCTTTTGTTCCCTTACGTATCACGTGTGAATGCCCCTTCCATGAGAAAGCCAGCCTGGGCTTCAAAAGTTTCACAGTGCAGTGAGAGAAGGCCAGGCAAGCAAGGAACTGGTCCGCATAGTCTCTGGTCTTCAGGAACTCCAAATGATGGCGTTCTTTGTAGTTCTAAGTGTGAGAATATAGGATGTTGAGCAAACCTCGTTTTCCCTGATGTCGAATTTTTATCTGAAGTTTTTAGCCTTTTTATTTTTCTTTAGCTCAGCAGGCAGTGTCCCAGTCTCTCATGCCCGTCACCTTTAATACTTTCTGTTATCTTTTTAATCTGGTATAGGTGACTCATGGCTGTAATCCCAGGGCTAAGAGTGCTGAGGCAGGGGGAGTACCTCAAGTTCCAGGCCAGCCTGGGCTCCCTAAGGCTCTACCTCCAAAAACAAGCAAACAAACGAATAAAAACAAAACAAAAACTGAAAATAGAATTAATGCTTTAAAAATGCAAGTGCTCACTGCGCTTCCCCACCTTAGCTGAGCGCTTCCCTGCCAGTTTAGGCCCTGTGCTGAGGAGAGGCCTGCTTAGCCGACAGGTCCCTTGCTTCATCCAGTTTACGGTGAAAACTTGGCAGTGAGACATGATCACAGCCATCGCTGTAAATTATTTACTTTTACTTCCTTGACCCAATAAGGTCTTGTAGCTTGAACATGGTCCGTCTTGTGGCCCACAGCGTGCACACCGGAGCCCTGTGTCGGATCACTAGCGAGTGGCCCATGGTCGAGAGCCTCCATCTGTGTCTCGGGTGCCCTTTGGCGTGGTCACCAAAACAGTCTCCAGCCAAGCCAAATGACTTCTTCATTCTGTTACATGGTTGCCGCATGATAGTTACTAAACCTGATTCGTTCTTTCTTTGAAGGATTAAGGAGACGTTCTACCCTGATATTCCCAACCCAGAGAACTGTAAAGCCTTACAGTTTCAGAAGAGCCTCTGCGAGGTAACCCTTCGTTCCATGTGTTTGCATTTGGGGACCCGAGGGCTCCTTCTTTCTGTCTTTTGTGAGGAGCTTGTGATGTCAGCCTGAGAAAGAAGTATGAGGAAGGTAGCATGCTTCAGCATCTGTTGAGTGTCCAGAGTTCGTCATCTTCAGTGTTTATACCACACTTTTTTTTTAACCACTATGAAAAGTAAGGAAAATATTGACCTGGGGGGGGCGGGGAGAAGTAGTTTTACTCTGGATGTGAACTCCAGAACTGCTGAGGCTAGTGTTTATAAACAGATGTGAAGGGGGAAAAAGTAAAATACAAGTCTTTCTGTCAGAGGAGCCCCGCTGAAGCGTGTAGTACTGTCTTAACCACTGTTCCTAACTTACTTCCAGGGAAGCAGTGCTCTCAAAACATTGGAAATGAACCCCTGTACTCCAAATAACGTCGAAGTTCTGGAATCTCGATCAATCGTTCCTAAAATAGAAGATACAGAAATAATCTCCCCCGTGGCCGAGCGTCCTGCTGAGAGCTCTGAGCCGGACCCCGAGAACCACGTGGTTGTATCTTACTGCCCACCCATCATCGAGGAGGAAATAGCGAACCCCACAGCAGACGAAGCAGGAGGGACTTCCCAGGTCGTGTACATCGATGTTCAGTCCATGTACCAGCCTCAGGCCAAGCCAGAGGAAGAGCAGGACAGTGACCCCACGGTGGTGGCCGGCTATAAGCCGCAGATGCGCCTCCCCATTAACTCTGCTGTGGAGGACACAGCTGCGGAAGACGAAGCCGATAAGGCTGCAGGCTACAGACCTCAGGCCAGTGTGAATACTTGGAATTTGGTCTCTCCGGATTCCCCAAGGTCCACAGACAGCAACAGTGAAATTGTCTCTTTTGGAAGTCCATGCTCCATCAATTCCAGGCAGTTTTTGATTCCTCCTAAAGATGATGACTCCCCTAAATCTAACGGAGGCGGGTGGTCCTTCACAAACTTTTTCCAGAACAAACCAAACGACTAACCCGGCACCCTTTGCCCATGCAGTCTGCCATCTCAACATCCCAGCAGTAGCTGGGGCATTCATTCCTGGAGGGACTCAGCGAAGGTGGAGAACCAGAGACCTTCCCTCCGGGCAAGTGACACTAGAAGCGAGAATGCGCTTTTAATGTACCCTAAAAGCCCAAGTCCAGTGACTCGGAAACCTCAGCCACAGAAACTCAAGATTTGAAGCTGTTTTTGATTGAGCCAAAGAATCCTCCAGAAGGATTTCAACGACTAACTCTGCCTAGTTCGTATATGCAAAACAAATCTCAACAACTGTCTGTTGTTACTGGTTTTCTCGTCTTTGTATGTTATGGAGTTCCAAGTGGATTTACAGGCCAGGAAGAAAAATGGACAAGTCAAAATAACGCTACTTCGCCTGACATTTACTGCGGTCTAGAGGAAAACCAAACACAGATTTTAAAACTTTTACGATGCCTCTATCCTCAGCATTTACAAAAGCGAGTCTAGTTTTTCATGCAGCAACCGCTATCTGGTGTGTTCTGCTTGGGAGAGTGTACCGATGTCTGTGCCTGTCGGGTATGCCAGGTGACGGGGCGTGCTGATTTCTCTGCCTACTGTATAACGGTTACCAAACAGTTGTCTCAGGGGTACAAACTTGGAAAAACAAGTGTGACGCTGACCAGCCAGAATCAGAATCACACTGTCCTGCTTTAGCAGGGTGTGAAAACCTTTTTCCTGTCACGTGGCTGGCACGCTGGCTTCCGTTGGGCAGCCCATTGTCCTCATGTTGGAAATTTCTAGAACTAGCTCCAGATTTTCTCTGCATTTTTGTTTTGTGTTATGGTGTCTGCTTTGTAAGAACAAAGTCAGCGTTATTCACCAGTACATAGTTGTGATGAGTTACTATGTAAGATGACTACTAAGAGCTAACTACTGGTGCATGCTGACCCCAAGCTCTGATACGGCTCCGCTCCCCTGAGAAGGTTTGCCGTCCACCTGACCAGTAGCGAATGATGATCTTTGGGGTCTCTCGGTAGCTTTCTCCTGCTCACGAGCCCCAGCCCCTCCTCCTTCAGGCAATTAGTGGTCCAGCCTCTTAGACCCAATCTTCACATCCGTAAGCCTAAACCTAAAGGGAGATCCTTTCTCCCCAGAGCAGCTAGTAAATGGTGACTTTAATAGAAGTCGTAACGCTTACGGAATTGCTGGGTCGTGGCTGTGGTTGCCCTGTGAGCTGTGAAGAGCCGGGTCTGAGCACAGCACCCTCCATCTATCCTGGTTTCTCATCAGCAATGTGTACAGTGAATGAGGGTCTCAGAAAAGCAGAGTAAAAACCTAAGTGTATGCTGTGTGTTTGTGTTTGCTCTGCCCTTTATTGTCAAGTGTGTAAGTATGTGAGTTTGAAACACCTGAGTAGGCGTTTGTTCTGTATCATCTGAAGTCCCCCAAACTGTGCAGATAGTGTATTGGTTTTTTTAGTTCTTAATCTCTTTTTACTTTTACTCCTTCCTTCCTTTCTTCCTTCCTTCCTTCCTTCCTTCCTTCCTTCCTTCCTTTTTTGAGACAGAGTCTCATTATGTAGCTCCAGCTGTCCAAGAACTCACTGTGTAGACCAGGCTGGCCCCAAACTCACAGAGATCCACCTGCCTCTGCTTCCTGAGCGCTGGGATTAAAGGTGTGCGCCACCATGCCTGGTCTCATATTTTCTCTTTTAAAAAGTCATGTGGAAAAAAATGCAGAATGACAAGGGATAAAATCAGATAATGAGTGCATGATCCTGTTTTTAACCCCAGGTTGCAGCTACATTTTGGAGCTTCGTGATATGATGGTTTGTGGAGTGAAATCAATTAGTTATGCATTTATATAATAAATAAAAGGTAGATAATAACTCTTAGAAATTTTCAGTAATAAAAAATATTCCAAGCTAGAGTCATCGCCAAACAGTTTAATTTGTTCCTTGTGCCTTCCCTCTCTGGGTCCTTTCTTTTTTTTTTTTTTTTTTTTATTTTTCGAGACAGGGTTTCTCCGTAGCTTTTGGTTCTGTCCTGGAACTAGCTCTTGTAGACCAGGCTGGCCTCGAACTCACAGAGATCCGCCTGCCTCTGCCTCCCGAGTGCTGGGATTAAAGGCGTGCGCCACCACCGCCCGGCTCTGGGTCCTTTCTTGATGCTCCACCCAGCCGCTCTGAGCCCTGGCTGCCACCTCCCCTGCCACGCTGCCTCCTCCCGTGCCACATCTTGTTAATGCTCTGCTCTGCTCCCCTTCAGCCTATGCCTCATTCCCCACTGAAGCTCATCAGTTTCATCTTCCGTCTAATGGGGGTGAGTGTCAGGGAAGGTAGTAGCTCATCCTTCTGAACTACATCAACCTGAGAACACAAGGAAATGGACTTATCATCAAAACAGGCCTCTTTCCCGTGAGGGACATTTAGAACACTGCTCATCCTACCCTGCCTTTGAATTCCAGTCTCCAGGACCGCTAGGCCACTGAGAAGCGGGGGGTACCCGCAGATCATTTTAGGAAAACATGGCTGGGGACTGAGGCTGAGGCAGATGTCCCTTGTCTTTTCCCATTGGATTGAAGATAGCCACATCTCCAGGCGGTGTTGTTATCTCTGCAGTTCCTGCTGAGTTGTGCACACAGAAGAAGCCTGGCAGGGAGAGGACAGGGGAGAAAGGGACATGCAGGGCATGTTTCTGTAAGCCTGTTTCACTCCGATTCCCCAGTGAGCAGTGGATGGGGGGGGGGGGAATCATAATACTTGGGAGTGGCCATTTTCAATCTTTAATTTAGTCTTAAATACTTAACTCGGCTTTTGGCGTGAGAGCTGTGAGCTGTGTGCCACGTTAATTAGCACTTCTGTAGCTTCCGAATTCTCCCAGTTATTGAACTAGCAGTGGATTTGAGATGGTTGTACTGCGTATCTAGAAAGTTGAGTGTGTGCCTATGCTGTGTGATAGAGGTGCTTTTGTTCCCGCTGCTGGCAACAGAAGCAGCCATTCATTGGGAAGCTGGAGGGAGGAAGTGTCAGGCTCGTTTTCCATATTAGCATTGCTCTCATGGTTCACGGAACCTGAAGGCTTGCATTCAGAACACGGAGCACTGTCGTACTCAGCAATAGCAGAAAGTCACATTCTCAGACCTTGCGAGCTGAAGTCTTGTTAGAAATTTCCCCTGTCCCAGTAATTTATCAAATATCACAGTCCTTTCTGTGTTAATTAATGAATGTAATTTAGTGAAAGGCTAGAGAATTTCTCCTCTCAATGGGAATTCGAAATCAATGTTGTGGTATTTTTTTTTTCAATTATAAAGTACCCCTTAATATGTCAATATGCAGAAAGTATTATCTCCAAGTTTCTTACTGGTTAGGCATTTAATCTGGTGAAACTTCTTTGTTTGCACTAAGGCAACTTTTGCTGTTTCCTGTTTCAAAGTATGTTAGAATTAGCGAAATGCTTTCTCAAAGGATTCTGGAAGTGTGATCCTTGGCTTCCCAAGTGAAGAAGCATGGGGAAAGGGTCCTTAGCTGCTAATGCCAGGCACACAGCGGCAGCCCAGTGGCTGTGTGCATGGAGTCCCTCCCGAGTGTTACAAACTCAGCAGAACTGTCTGGAAGGATGCTAAAGATTAAGATGTAGCTCACATATAGCTGAGCGCTTTGAGTACACAGTAGAAGCAGCCCCACAGTTGGAGGAAAAGCAGCAGGTATTTCTTTAGACACTGTCAGCATACTTGGAACCATGTGGAGTTTGCTTTTATCCAACGAGTTTTCCATCTGGAGACGCGTTTGTACCAACCTAGCATATGTTACGGCGAGCCATGTGTGAGAGCTTAATTGATTAACAGAAGAACTCGTTCTCTTTGTGAGATATCTCCAGACATTTCCTTTGAACTGATATTTCTGCTGAGACAGCTTCATGCTGCCATACCTATCTTCCTCTTGTACCCAAAGGCCGGGGGCTGGGGAGAAGTGTGGCCAAACTTACAGGACACTAATCTTTTAGATATAACCCTAGAATTGCCTTCAAATTCATTTAGCCTGAATCATGATTCTGCCCCAGTGCTATTTATACTGCTAAAGCCTCTCAGTTAAACTAGAGTCGCTACATTTTTTTTTTTACTCCTTTTCAATTGCTGCTTTTATCTTGGTAAATTGCATGATCATGTTCATGCTGATTATAATACAGATGAATTATTTCTAAATGCAGGCATAAAGGATGGAGAATGGCATTCAGCTGAGCAATATCAAGTTTTCTTTCATCTTGTTAGAGTTTCTGGGGTTGTTATTTGGTCTAGTTAGCCACATGTTTCTAATTATGATATTAGATTATGACTGGATCCCCTCGATTTTAACTAGAGTAGTGCCTGTTCTCCTTGCATCATGAATGATAATTTTTGTCCAAGGTGTAAATAGAATTTGCCAAAGTTAAATTTTAACTGTGGTATGCTTTTATTATAAATAAACCATAACTGATTGCACATTAACTAGATATAAACCCATAATAATTTATATTACTTTCTGGTAGCTGGAACTGAATCCCTTAAAAATGAAAAAAATGCTGAGAAAAATTGATGAGGCAATGAATGTTTATTACATCCATATGTGTCTTCAAGATCACCCTTGTGCTAGTCAATTAGAACTTTAGAAGAAATCAAACTATTGCAGACTCTTTGCTGTACTTATGCCTAAGATAGTGGGTGTGTCTAATTGGGTGACTACTTAAAGTGATTCTGTTTCCTTATATGCACTTTTACTGTTAATTATTCCATTTCAAATGGGCAGTTTCAACTTCTGAACCTGCTTCCAGATATTCCAGTAGCATATCCTCAAATATCGAAATATTTTTAGGTGATCATCCAGTCTTCCTTAAGTCAGGGACAACGTGGTACTTTGGCAGGTGCTCACAGAACAAAATAACAGCTTTCAGATGAGTCTTCCCGTCGGCTCGCAGGCTGTCACCTGTCCATTCCTGGTAGGCCAATTATTAGCCACTGTTCCTTCTGTTTAATTTTCCTTCCAATGTGTTATGTAAGAAAGTATGGAATACCGCGGTGAAGCATTGAAGAGAAAACCCTGTTCAGCTCCTTATGGTGGGGGAGGGATGGTGGGGTACCCTGAGACGGAGCAACTGCTGAACTACATCCTGTTCAGAGTCATTCCAAAAAGATTGTTCTGGATAGAAGCAGATATGCAGAGTCTGAGATGGTTCCAACGTACAGACATCTTCAAAGGTAAAGTAAGTCATCTACAAGTCCTCAGTGTTCTTAGTAAGAGGTTTTTTTCAATTTTTTTAAACCAGACCTTTCATTAGTTAATCATAAGCCATTATCCCTGTAACACTAAAGAAATTGCCATTTTTTCCTTTCAGAGTTGCATTACAGTGCGTTACTGTTTACAAAATACACATACTGTGAACAGATAGAAGTTTTTGTCTAAGGTTTGTAGAGTGAATGTTTTTTTTTTTCAAGATGGTGTTATGTTGAATAGTTTTAGGTTTTTGTAAATAGTAGCTGTTTACTAACTTTCGTTTGGTCAGGTGTGTCTGTGTAGCTGGAAGAAGACAGACTTTACAGTTTCCTCAGTTTCCCCTTTCCGTTTCCTGTCGAGCCACCACTACAGACGTTTTTGTGTTCACACAAGTGATCAGTTATGACGTGCAATACTTAAAGTCATGTTTCATCCTCTAAGGAATCTTTTAAAAATGCGTATATGGGAAGCAAACCAGATTGATGTGTGTCTCCGTGACTCACAGAATTCTGACTTGCATATGGAATAAAACAGCACTCACAGAGATTGCTAACCAAAGTATTTCCAGCCTTGTGAAATTTTGGATATGATGTTGCTGTTAGAATGAGAAATTTGAACATTTTATATCCTAATTTCA